CACCGCAGCCTCGACCTGCTGGGCTCAGGCGATCCTTCCCGCCTCAGCCTACCAAGTAGCTGGAACCACGGGCGCGCGCCACCACACCGGCTCATTTTTTGATTTATCGTAGAGACGAGGTCTTGCCGAGTTGCTCAGGCTGGTCTCGAGCCCCTGGACTCAAGCAGTGCTGTCGCCTCCGCTTCCCAAAGTGCTGGGATAACAGGCGGGGGCCACCGCGCCCGGTTTAGGGTTAACATTTTGTAGCCGGCTGTCTGGGCGCTAACTCCCAGGTGGGCGCCCTTGTAGGAACCTTTTCCTGGGCCCTCCCCCAGATCGCCAGTTCCTTGCTGAAGCCCCCACTTGATTTGGGGTTAACAGACAGCTTGGAAACCAGGCAGGCCTGTATTTTCACTCTAGATCAGCAATTGGCAGCTGCAGGTTGCAAGCACCTGGGTGCTGGGTAGCTACCCCCCCCCCCCGTTGCTGATCTCCAGAGTTCACCCCTGAGACTGGTTTAATCCCGGTGTCTCTGTTTTTCCAAAGCTCCCTGGGTAGGTCCTGTGTCCTCAGGGTTGAGAAGGATTATTGCTGTACACGAAAATCCACACTCTGAACATTTTCATTGGCTGGATCTAGCGCTGCCGTTTTTTGAGACTTTGGCAAGTTTTTTAGTACTTTGAGGTAATTGCCATATAGATGTAAACACTCGACAAGGGTTTTTTTGTGTTTTGTTTGTTTGTTTTGAGTTGGAGTCTCACTCTGTCGCCCAGGCTGGAGTGGCCACCCTGGAGTGGCCACCGCAGCCTCGACCTGCTGGACTTCGACGATCCCTCCACCTCAGCCTTCCGAGTAGCTGGAACTACAGGCGCATGCTACCACGCCCAGCTAATTTTTTGATTTATTGTAGAGATGAGGTCTCGCCAAGTTGCCCAGGAGGGTCTCGAACCCGCGGGCTCAGGCAAACCACTCACCTCAACCTCCCAAAGGCGTGGGTTTACAGACTGAGCCACCGGAGCCCAGCTTTGTTTTGTTTTGAGTCGCGGAGTCTCACTGTGTCGCCCAGGCTGGAGTGCAGTGGCACGGCCACCGCAGCCTTGACCTGCTGGGCTTAAGCGATCCTTCTGCCTCAGCCTTCCAAGTGGCTGAAACTTCAGGCGCACACTGCCATGCCTGGCTTATATTTTAATTTATTGTAGAGACGGTGTCTCACCAAGTTGCCCAGGCTGGTCTCAAACCCCCAGACTCAAGCAATCCTCTCACCTTGGCCTCCCAAAGTGCTGGGATTACAGGCTGGGCCACTGCACCTGACCGACAAGGGTTTTAATATGATCTTGAGTAATCAGTGATGAGGCCTTCTTGTTCAGTGTTGGTCCTGGCCTTGCCTCTTATAGACAGGAGGTGACCCTTTTTCTGATTTGCTCTCTTTGCTGTTCTTTTAGATTCTCGGGATTTGAAGATGGCTGCACAGTCAGCGCCGAAAGTTGTGCTAAAAAGCACCACCAAGATGTCTCTAAATGAGCGGTGAGGCAGCCAACAGCAACTTCAGCTCCTTCCTAAGAAAACGTTACTTAAGTTGGCCCTGGGGTCCAATGCACAAAAACCGGTTTTAAGCTAAATACCAACAGAAGGCTACAGACCTCTGTTCTTAGTTGCATCTTATGTGGTACACAAAACAAATTGGGCGGTTGTTTCAAAACCACTTGTCAGTAAACATTTATGTTAAGCTGTCTGAAATATTTGTCTGGTGGGATGTATTTTAAAAAGACTCCTAACACCCTCCCTTTTCTTCACATTTTTTACATTGATACAGGGGTGGTGCAGCATGGTAGCATGGTACCCTGGCTGCAGTAGGCTTGCTGCCCAGTCCAAGGCCAGCAGTGTTGTGTCTGGCCTGTAAGAGGCAGGTAGCAAGTCATGAATATGTCCAAAGGCCCTTGAATGTCATTCTTGGGCCTTGTAAGAGGCACTTGCTTTGCTCCATTTCACTTTCTTTCCATCCTGCTTTTAGTTTGTTTTTGTTTTGGAGTCTTTTACAGTTAAGTGTTCTTCTCTTCCATTCCATTCAACTTACCTTAATAGGTATAATAGAGGAGTGTCTTCACAGGCTCTGAAATGATTGAACTAACCTGACTTTCAGAAATAACCACTTGGAGTCAAAAAAGTGATCATTTGAGACTAAGAAAAGTAAAGGTATTTAAAGGTAGTTTCTGTCTCTGAGAGCTTTGTTCATTGAGTGCCTTTAGCCAATGATTTTATTAAGTTGATGTTAGACTACTAAGAGATTGACTTAATGTCTATTTTTACCTCTTCTAAAGCATATGTGCTTCTCTTATCTCTTAGGATATGATACGCTATATTCACTTGTTACTAAGTGATGAATATATTTAAAAATGTGATACACTCCTATACTTTATAAGGGTATATTATTCACATGGGTGTATTAATTTCCATTAGCCTTGAAGGTGCTCTAGTATGTCCTCATTTTTGCCCTCAGAATGCACCTCAGGTCCCCCAAGGTTGAGCCTTTCTTTGTTTGTCTTTGAAACTACATCTTCTGTCTCTTGTCATCAAATCTGCTTATTGCGTGTTTTTCATACCTTCCACTTCTCTAAAAGCCGTTACCTGAGCCCTTGTTATCACTTTTGATTGAATGTGCTACACTTACTGCATTTCTAAGTTTCTGATTCTTGCAATTTTGTGGAAACAGAGGAGTCTGTAACCCACATCAGCTTTGATCTAAGTGTACCACTTTACTTAAAAGTTCGTGGGATCTGGAGCTCCTGGTCTAGCAAGCCATGAAAATGCCAATAAATGTTTTGTAATAAAGCTTTTATTTAAACATCCATTTTGTTCGACCTTGAAGCTTTACTAATATGCTGAAGAACAAACAGCCGATGCCAGTGAATATTCGGGCTTCGATGCAGCAACAACAGCAGCTAGCCAGTGCCAGAAACAGAAGACTGGCCCAGCAGATGGAGAATAGACCCTCTGTCCAGGCAGCATTAAAACTTAAGCAGGTGAGAGAGAATGAGTCTTAATGCTCCAGAAGCAGCTGGTGATCTCTGTCAGGCAGTCCACTGAGGCTGTCAGGACGTGATGGATGATTACAAGGTGGCTCAGGGCAAAAGCTGAAACTTCTCTGGGAAAAAGAGAAGTTTAGAGAATTCCAATTTTGGCAGGTACTGATAAATAACTTTTTATTGTCTTTCTGTTTTAGGGAGTTACCATCTGTGTGGCCTGATTCTGTTATCAATGAGTGTTAATCTCTTGTTTTCTAATCCTTTAACATTAATGTAGATTAATGACTTTTCCACAAAGAAACTTTGTTTCAGCTTTAGATAATCTTCAAAACATCTTTTATTTCCTGTTAAGTGATTTACAAACTAGGAAAATCATTGTATTCTTTCTCCCCTAGCACAAGGAGTCTGAATGGCCTTAGTCAAAGGTTTTCAGTGCTAAAACATAGCAAGAGTAGAGTAATCCTCATTTCCACAGCACTTAAAGTTTTATCGTAAAGTGGAGCAAGAGTACTGAGTAATTAACTGGAGTTAGTGGGTTCTGTTTCAAATTTCCAGTGAGAGAGAATCCCATTCAGACCTGAAATAAAACCTGCTCTTTATTATTCATAGACTTTATATGCAAGTCCGGACAGTGGCTGTGGAAGGATATGTCCAAGCTGTGGCTGGGCGTCTGGAGGGCGGTGCCATGCAACTGTAAGAACTTTAACTGGTAGCACTGCATGGCTGTGCATAAATTCAGCAGTTAAATATAACACCCTCCCACCCCCACCCTGAACCATTGGGCTCACTGACCAAAAATAAACAAGGGTTTCTGCTTTGGCTACCTTAAGCCTTGGAGTGATTGGATTCCTCCCTAACTCAGGGAAGCAGCAAAAGGCACCACCATTTTCCAAGAGTAAACAAAAATTGCTGAAGCCTCTGACAGATCATTTCAAAGGATCTTTCAGCAAGAAATTATCTAAAGTAATACTGTCCAGCAAAACTTTATATGATGTTGGAAATATTCTGTTTCTGTCATCCAGTATAGTAGTCACTAGCCACATGTGGACTTTTGAAAACTTTAAATGTGGTTAGTATGATTCGGGAGCTTAATTTTTTTTTAATTTACTTGTAATTTAAATAGCCACATGTGGCTAGAGGCTCCCTTATACAGTGCAGCTCTAAAGTGAAAACTGACAAGGTTAGCATCCTTAAGTTTCCTGTTAATGTTAAAGACCAGAATTGGGCCGGGCTCATGGCTCAGCCTGTAATCCCAGTGTTTTGGGAGGCCGAGGCGAGTGGATTGCCTGAGCCTGCGGGTTCAAGACCCGCCTGGGCAACTTGGCGAGACCTCATCTCTATAATAAATCAAAAATGAGCCAGGCATGGTAGCGCGCACCTATAGTTCCAGCTACTTGGAAGGCTGAGGCTGGAATGATCACCTGAGCCCAGGAGGTTGAGGCTGCAGTGGCCGGGAATGACAGAGTGAGACTCCAACTCAAAAAAAAAAAAAAAAACAAACAGAATTGGTGGCAGCTAAGGATTTTGGAATGGGGGAAGAACTCAGCATTATGCAGTTCTCCCCTTAAAACACAAAGCTCAGGAGAATGAATATACCCAGGGTAACCGAACAGGAGAGACTTAAGGAATGCAATCCTGACCTCAGCTGTGCTAGTCAGGGGAGGGGCAGGACATGTCCTTATGGTTTGTTACACCTGCCCATGCTCGATACATAATATTCAGAGCCTTCTCCTTTGGTTGGACGCAATTTATGATCTTGTGCTAGAAAGCTAATAGTGCCCTACAGCATCTTTTTTTGAAGGATAGGATTAAAACACACACATTAGCAGTCACTTGTGTGTCGAGCCTGAGGACGCATAGAATTTATTTTCATTCATACTGACTGATGACTTTATGAAAAACCTGGGTTGCTAGGGCCTTGGTTGTGCAAAGTATACTGTCCTGTTTCCTTTGAAGGAATTTGTCTGAGATGTGGTCTTTATGATTTCCCTTTCAGAATAGATACTCAAAATCTCTATCTCTAGTATGTTCTTGTTCTCATATGTGGCCCCGAGTTTTGTGATCATAGCTCACTTGTTGAATTCTAACATAAGTTTTTGGCTGGCTTTCTGGAGATACATTTGAATTAACATGTTTATTTTGAATTAAAAGTCTATATTGGTTTAAACAAGCTGTTTGCGAGAGTAGGCTTGGAATTAAGGATGTTTGAGAAATGTAAGGAAAGGAGATTTGACTTTTTTGTGTTTATTTACATCTTAAGGTAAAAAGTGAACCGTCTGAAGATAGATACTCAGAGGAAAAAATGAAGCACACGGGCCTCTTTGAGAAATCAATCTTGTTCTTAAGTCACAAGAACGCAAATGAACTTGTAACTTAAATTTTGTCCAGAGTGTGATGAACTTCCTATGGTGTTTGAGTAAGCCTTTGAAGACAGTGGTAGTCCTTGGGCAGGTATGAATTAAGTCACATCATTGTCAAACTGTAGTTCAAAAATAGTACAACTCAGGATTGAACTCTGGAATATTCTTACTAAGTTCCAACTGGCTGGCAGTGTATGACTTCTGTAGCCAAACTAGTGAGGTAATTTGTGGTGATGCCCATTTCATGGGACCATACTCAAGCTTCTTAGAGTTCTTCTCTGGATCAAATTCTTTTTCTTTTATACCATGTTCTGAGACAAAGGCTTGCTTCTGGTTTGTGATTCTAATGACACCCACAACAGGTTTACCTCCCTTTACACCAGACACATCTCACTTGCTTCTTTTCTCTGCACTTTGAATTGCCAAATCCTATTGGATTGCTTTTTTGATCTCAATCCCCCAACACCATTTCTTCCAGAAGAGCTTAAAGCAGCGCCTGGGTAAGAGTAACATCCAGGCACGGTTAGGCCGACCCATAGGGACCCTGGCCAGGGGAGCAATCGGAGGACGAGGCCTGCCCATAATCCAAAGAGGCTTGCCCAGAGGAGGACTGCGTGGGGGACGTGCCACCAGAACCCTGCTTAGGGGCGGGATGTCGCTCCGAGGTCAGTGCTGTGTACCCTGATGATTGTCGGGCCCTACCCCCTTCCCTTTTCTCTCGGGCTGCTTATGGACACATTTGTTTAACATCTTTAAGCCTGAATTTGTATTAATATAATAACTTGAAATCACATATTTTTAATAGTGCTGCATGTTTTTTTTATCAATACCATTCCTTTTCTGATAATGTGCAATGGTGAGAGGCTTTGACCTGCATAACAGGTAATTCATGTCATCTCCATTCCATTTTAAAACACCCTGCTGCTGCTTAGCACATTTAAGTTCTAGAAATAAGTCAAATTTAACAAATATATGGGTCTTTTGGCCTTTATCTTAACTAACCATCTCTGTTCCTGGTGCTAGTAAAACATTGTTACTTCTGGAAAAAAGAGGACAAGTTGACCCATAGCACTTAATTTAAATATTACATTTTGGGCACCATTACTCTGTTCCCTGTATAGTTCTTGTTCCCTGCAAAAATGCATTAAGAACAGGAACCACAGTATTTATTTTTAAATCTGCCATAATGCTAGGTATCTATGTAATTATTCAGCAGATACTTATTAAATGTATGTACTTACTAATTGACCTTCTTCCAATAATGGATTTGTGGTCAGACTTGTTGAATGAATTTAATAAAGAGCAGCTTAATCTATTCACCCTCTGTGTGCAGCTTGGCCCAACCAACCTAAAAATTAACTGAATTACTCTCATTTAACCCTCACCGCCTTCCTTTGGTTAGAGTCTACTTTGTGTTTCTTGGATTTACCTGCATATACATTGTATGCCTCCTCTCCAAGGTCAAAACCTGCTCCGAGGCGGACGAGCCGTAGCTCCCCGAATGGGCTTAAGAAGAGGTGGTGTTCGAGGTCGTGGAGGTCCTGGGAGAGGGGGCCTAGGGCGTGGAGCTATGGGTCGTGGCGGAATCGGTGGTAGAGGTTAGTCAGCTACCAACTTCAGAGAGTAGCTCCCCCTATTTTCCTCCCTTACAAACTCAGAGCCACCTTTCTGCACAGCTTCGAGTCGTAGGCAGGCTTCTTTGTTTGTCTTGTTTTGTTATTTGAAACTGGCTTATTTCCTAAATTCCCATGCTGGTAGTGTGAAAGTCTTATGATTTTTCCAAGAACCAGTCAAGTGCACATTACAGAGCCTGGTTATATGCAGTCTTCCAGGTTTTGCAAGTTTAAATTATATTAAAATTACCCCACAAAATTTGTCAGTTTAGGGTTTTACCTTTCTCTGTCCCTCTCCCATCACCACCACACACTCACGCTATAGCTCAATATCCCAATTGAGACACAAAAATAGAGAAGAGGGAGATGTACAGAGATGAAGCAGAGTTAAAGAGGATGATGAAGCTGGGCTCGTGGTTCAGCCTGTAATCCCGTACTTTGGGAGGCTGAGGTGAGAGGATTGCCTGAGCCCGCGGGTTCGAGACCCGCCTGG